ATGCTACCTGACAAAGTCTAAGAAGAAAATAATGCATTTTACATGCTAGTTTTCATTATAATATATCAACTTCCAAATCCTTACAATAAAATGTATTGAACAAATTGAAACTGAAGTACCAAGGCATTAAAAGAGAGATGAAACACTCTTCCAAATCCTCACCCGTTGTCCAAACATTATTGTGCTAGTGGTCTCTGCATAGTGCCTTGCTGATGGCCCAATTGTTATGATAAGTGAAGTCCTCGCAGAGCCTATTTAGTAGAAAGAATATGCATTTCCTTAAAGGAAAATCATAAAAAATAAAAATAAAAAGTGCAATTATAAACATAATATCAAATTTGAAGAATAACATATATATAAACATACTATCAAATTACTGGTTGTCTCACTGGTCTCACCAAATGACCAAATGATATTCTCAAGCAATTAATTAAGCCCAAATACATAGCAAAGAACACTATCAATGTAAGAAAAATGATGCAAAATAAAAATTATATACATATAAAAGATATAGAGCAGAATGTTAGATATCTGGGACAACCTCCAAATGAATCACGAAGCAACCTCGTAAGCTTAGAATCTCTCGTAGGGATATGTGGACTGTTTTCCGCCAATGCATTTATACATTTTCCAAGGGAACTGAGTGAAAGATTTATAAATTTAGCCTCCTCGAGCAAGTGGCCCTCACTGCCTGCAACATGAGAAAAATAATATCAGGAATAACAATGCCATCAAACCAAGATGCCACCCCAGAATTCTACAACTGAAAACTGCAGATTATTTCAAGGAAGAATATATGCTATCTGGCTTAAGTTAACATAAGATCATACTTCCAATACAAGATATGTAGAACCCAAATCAGCAACACTTATGGAAAGACCTCAAGTGAAATTAATAATGCTAAATGTTCCTAAAAGTGATTGTCATAAATAATTTAAAAAATGCCAATATCTTTTAATAAAGGAAAAACAAGGGGGGTGGGAAATGAGAGCTTAAAGTACTAC